GGCCCCGCGGCCGGGGTTGTGTGCGGAGCCCGGTGCTGCCGGGCGGGCAGCTCTGTCTGAGGGCGCCTTCTTCACCAGCGGGCTTCGGGCACGGCGCTCCTGGGCACCGGGGAGGCAGAAGCCCTCTCTGCCTGCAGCTTAACAGACTTCTCTCAAGGCAGAGTGCTGCAGTGAGCGTATCCAAGACCCCCAAATCTCCCTCTGTGTTGTCCCTGTTGCATATGCACGCGACAAGTGTGTGGCATCTTGCGTACACGCTTAGCATATAAGTGCTCATTTAACATGCTTAGGAGTAGCCATGTAATCATTCTGTTTAAGATAGAAACCTTCTGGAAAGAGCCTTTGATGGTTTCTGAAAACTTTCTCATGCAGTTGTGTGCCCCAGAGCACAAACAGTAGCCATCAAGCCATGTGTTTGGCAGAGGGAGTGTGTTCTTGTGAGACTGCTCACCTGTTTCTCCTTTATTTGTAGGTATGGTCCCAAAATGCCTCTTGCAGTGGATTGCACTGCTGAGCTGATTCGATGCAAGGTCCTGGATTCATCTGGCAGGTTGAAATCGCACGAGCTCATCCTCTCTTACGGGCTGGCGCTTGTCAGGTAGGGCTCTGAAGGCCTGTGTGCTATGAGGGCAAGAGGCCTGGACAGATAGTGTTATTCAGCTGTCTGATTTCACTGTGCATCTCTGGGATCAGAGTGTTGTGCAGCAGGGAGGGGATTTGTCGCTGGGCTTCCCAGTTTCTCTGTAGCTCTGGATAGTAATTCATCTTTTCTGTAACCTGCATGCAGGTTTGTCAACTTGATCACAGAAAGGAAACAGAAAATGGTCAGCATTCCTCTGAGACAATTAGCCAGAGAGGTAAATATTTAATAAAAGTTACTCGATAACGTATGTATATACAGAGAGCATGTGCATTGTCTATTAACAACACTGGGTGGAGGGAATTGGGGGGTGGTGGTGTCATTCTTTTGTAGCCAAAATAATGGATGTAGATGTCTGTTCTTTCCAACTGCGAAGTTTTAAACAGGCTTCATGCAACTAGAGCTAAAACTTTGTTCTTTAAAGTCAGATTTTGAATCGTGTGATCAAAAGTCTTGATTTACATGTAAATAGTCCCACTTGACATATACACCACCCATTTTTGTTTCTTAGCTACTGAGATATGGAAAAGGAGCTAAATCTATGGTTTATAAATTCTAGTCTTTGACAAGCAAGATTATATATAAAAAGCACTTAATCACATTCACAGGTATTGTCATGTCATGTCTCTCTCTTGAAGGGAGCTTGTACGCTTCTGTGTGGAGGAGGGAAGGTTCAAGGTATAATTGCAGTAGCAGGACCAACTTGCATCCTTTTATTGCCAGCTGCACTCAGCATCATATGTGGGTCTGAACAGCAAGCTTTGAAAGTGAGGAACAGCCACTGTCCTGTATAGGCAGCCTTGTCTGGGGCCCCTCTGTGAGAATGATGATTTTTTTTCTAAAAACCCCAGGGGTTTTAAGAAAGGTGCTACTTCTCTCCTTTTAAAACTGATCAAGCTTAAAAATAGAGTTCTTGCATACTTGAGTTACTTGTCCTTTAGAAAGTTGAAAAAAAATGGTATGCATCTTGGAGGGTGTGTGATTGGAGTATTATATATGATATGGTTTGTATCTTTGATGTACAACCTGTCATCCAGAGTGTTTCGTCAGTTTAAATATAATTAACTGTTTCTCAGTATCTTCATTAAATTATACTGTCTAAAAGGACCTCTGTTTTTGCAAGTAATATTGAAGAACTTAAACTGTAAAGTTGGCATGGATCCTAGGCCACCGGAGGAGTGGGATCAGAGAGGAGGGGATCTCAGCCCACTCTTGAAGTGGGAAGCTGGGGGACTGTGGTGCAGCCATGGCTGGGAAGAGGCCGCTCCCCCCGAGGTAGAGGTTCTCTGCAGCCTTGCAGGGCTGCATGCCGTTGTGGTGTGGTGCAGTGGGAACTGTGGGGTAATGCCCATGCCTCTTCTTCCAGGTGGATATCCCCATCTGGGTTGTGGATCTCCGTCACGAGTTGACCCATGGGAAGCTGCCACGGTTGGCTCTGTGCCGCAAGGGTGAGTGCTGCTGGTGGGCGGCATTGGGAGGGCCCGGCCTGAGGTGCACTCGGTGGCAACGCCAGTGCGGCAGGCCCTGAGGGAAGCTCCCCTGCTTCCGTTCTGGGGCCCTGCAGGGCAGGCAGTGAGCTCATCCTGGTAAGGAGAGTTGTGGTGCGAGACACTGGGAGGCTTTGCTGCAGCCCTGTGTGGGTAGCTGAACTGTGTCTGGTGGCTCCAGGCTGTGGTGCATCACAGGGCAGGTGTTCAGAGACTTTCTCCTTCCACTGAAAAAAATACTGGAAACAATAGTTCAGCCCTCTGGCTTCTTTACAGCACAGAAAGCTAATCTCAGGGAGAGGTAAAAGCTTTTCCTGATGATTTAGAGATACCTGAGACTCTTAAAAAATCCTATTTAGGGAGAAATGCAGTACTGCAAGCCTGAATGAATGACCAGCTCATGGTGTTTGAAGGGATTCCTGGGAAATTTTGGGTTAAGCACAGTTAAACAACTTTCAGCAGGGTTTTTAGATTGACTTGCAGAGTGAAATAGTAATGACAGAAAAGGGATTTGATTTTCCATTCTATCTAATGTATGACTAGTGTACTCTCTGCACAAAAGTTGATGTTACCTGTGTAGACTCTGTTGATCATGGTGATACCAAAGATGACTAATTTTCTCATCAGAACGCCACTGCTGAGACATAATTTCTGCTTAGATTTGGCCTAGATTGAACAAGGTGCGGTGCTGTAGCAATATCCAATCTGTTTTGTTGCCAAAAAGACAGTGGATGGGTGTTAACAGGCCTTTGATACTTCGTTGTTTGGGTTTTTTTTATAACTTGTTCACCTTTTCAGTAATGGAGCTGTATGTGATTTCAGGGTTCGTAACGTATAGAATCATGGAACGGTTCGGGTTGGAAGGGACCT